CCCAATGTCAGCCCTATATGTAAAGCCATCAGAGGTAATCTTGTCTGCGTCATCGCCAGTCGATATGAATGTGGCGGCCTTGCTCACAGTTGGTGAACTTCGTGGGCGAGCCACCCGGCGCTCGCGGCATGATCGATTGGACCGGTGCTGCGCCCGTGGTTTTGGTGATGATTTTGATGACGAGGCTGAAGGGGCAGTGGCTGCCCCGTGCTGCCCGGCCCCTGCTCGCGTTTTGCGAGCGTGTGGTCACGGTGCGCGGGGTCGCCCTGCCCCGTGCTCTGATGCCAAAGTAACGAGGCATTTGTCTGAGAAACCACGGTGCGCCGAGCCAGCGATCTGTACGCCCAACTACGGAGACTCTGGTTTCGAGCTCGGCTTTAACCGGGTCCGGCTGGGTCGCCAATCCAGAATATATTTTCCTGCACCACAACATTCGGCAAAACCTCTGGGTATGGCTCTGGGCTGCTAGTCACATGACCAAATGGAGTATTGTGGAAAATATGCAGTGGGAGATTAAATGCTCATCGAGTTTTGTGCGGCGAAAATAAGGGGGAATGCAGGATGAAGTTATCCTCGTGCCGGGACTCATGAGTGTTATTTGACGTACTTTATTGTGCTGATTAAGTTGGTGGGGAAGGGCCAAAAGAAATTTTAAACAGGTTTCAATATAAATCACAACCTGTTTCACCTATAGGCAGGAATTCAATAAACCATTTGTTAAAATTAACCAGAAAATTGTGCACAATATAACACGCAAATATATCGTGGTATTAGACTAAATCCTATGGATCAAACAAATGAGACGGGCTATGAACATCTCAAACGGTATGGAACAATGGCAAGATTCATCCCAACATGGAATCAAACGGAAACTCGGAATCGTGATAATCTTATCGAGTTGCTGCGGTATTGAGTGATTGCACTAAAAAGTATAGCAAATGGCTATTCCCCACAAACGTTGCTTTTGTGACCAGGACTTTATGTGAAGGAATGACACAAATGCACGTTTTCTCATTAAAATATGTACATTTCTAAATATCGATGTCCTGGTCACCAAAGCAAAGTTTCTGGGGAATAATAGCCGTATCCTGTACTTTTGAGGTAAAAGCAATTAGGAAATGACACTTCCCAGGAACAAAAAAATATGAATTTCTTAGTGTTAATTGGTTCTTTACCCTTCTATCTGGCAACAAAACTGACACCTGACTGTCAGTTTTGTTGCCAGATAGAAGGGTAAAGAACCAATTATCATATTTTTACTGGCAAATGAGGTCCCCATAGAGTTTCTTAGTGTTATTAATGGAGTGGATTATTAACTTTGCTTTTGTGTCCTGGTCACAAAAGCAAAGTTTGTGGGGAATAATAGCCATTGTCTGTACTTTAGAGGCTTTAGCAATTGGATAATAACACTACCCAGGACCAAAAAAAAACAATGTTTTTGTTACCCAGTGTTGTCACGCCTACCACGTGTTGAGAGGCGCTTCTCAGCAGTCCTCCAGACTTGGAGTAATTCGTGTCTGGGAGTCCCACGCAGCCAGTGTTGTGCGTTGGCTTAAAAAACGTGACTTGCTTTTAATGAAACATTAATGGTCTTGTGCAAGGTCATGCGAGAGCCTGTAACGCGTAACATCTGTAGCGAAGAGCCTTCGCCTCTTGGTCCCAGTTGGCCGTTGCATTACAGCAACTCGAGTACAATATTCCCTGCGCTCCGACTGACATTGCAGAAAGTGAGGCCGTATTGTTCGCACTCTGCTCTGATTTGGCCTCCAACACGGTTCAGCTCGGGATGAGAGGCACGGTTGCTTTCAAAGCCGGCCGCTCGTGCCAGAGTTCTGACAAAAAGTGTAGCCTCTCGACCCACACGAGATGGACCATGTAGTAAAGCACACTTGTCGGCTCTTCAGGAGAAATCGCAAATCTGCACGAATTATCTCCTGATGGGCCCCTCGTGGCTTGCATCTCGATATTGACATCTAGCTTCTGAACGTATTGGCATACGCGAGAGTAGAATTGGGGCCTTAGTTTATGCAACTCCCACCGGGCACCAGGGGGCGCTATGCCCTCATCACGCCCCCTCGGAGCGCTTCCCTGCTTGTGGCCTCTACTATGGGAACTGGGTTCCAGCAGCCGCCCTCCACGCGCTGCTGGCCGGTGTGGGCCGAGAGGCAGGTGTTTGCCCAGGTCTAGAAACGGACTAAGCGTGACTCGTAGCGGCGTTTACACAGCTGCGTTTCCATAAAATCGTTACAGCCAAACATTCGAAGGCCCTCGCGCCTTTCAGTAGTCTGATGGAAAATGTTCGTAAGCGAGGACGCGTGCTTACGAAGTGTGGGCAGGGGGGGGGGCTGAGCTTCCTGGCGCTCTCGTGGTGCCCCCTCTGGATTGGTGGCATGCGGTGCCGCTTCCAGCGACCCGAGGTGCCGGTACCGCCCTCGAGTCGTGCCACCGCGGTTCGGATTTGGCCACTGCACAGTTTTGTCGCGATTCGCCGAACGGTAGTTTGACGTCGCGTTCGTTTTGAATCTCGGCCAGTGTTTGTGCCATGAGCCTCGTACGTTCATGTATAATTTGCGTAGGTCGCAATTTTCGGACGATTCAATTGATGGTATGTCTCGTTACTTTCAGCTTGGGTTTATTGTTGCATTCCAAATCGGGATGCTGATGATCGACCCTATTTTCGTTTGAATTGTGACTGGTGTATGTTTAGTTATATACCATTACAACCCCACCAAATCCAAGCCCGTCTGTACACACTTGGTGCAACACGTGCCATTGGGTGTGTGTGGCGTGAGCATGGTGTAAATGGGTTATCTACAGCAGCAGCAGTGTGGACTAGCACGGCAGCGTCTCTCATTGCCGCCGGGTGGCACGGTGGCAGCAGCGCGCTCGTTCCCCTTGGTGCCACTTGATCATGCGGGCTGACTCGCTCTGCTCGGGAGAGAATCTGCATTTCCAAACCCGGGTCAGGGCAATGAGGAGCATCGTCCTGCTCTGAAGAAAAGGCCTTCGCATGAAACGGCGCCTATTATATCTTGTTTTGGCCCTATTGAGGCCACAGTGTTGACGCGCGTTTTTGTTACTTGTGCTGACAAACTGCTGTCAGCGCTGTCTTACAAGAAATGTGATTTTTATTAAATGCCGTGGCTCTCGTTTCAGGTGCTGGAGGACGACAGTGACCTGGGAAGAGCGCACACAGTCATCCGTGTAAAAAATAAAAACCGTCGAGTTAAATCCACTGTTGTCTCTTTGAGGTCTGTTGTGCATGGAACTGCAGGGGGATATGGGCTGGGTGGTGGATGTATTGTCTGAGATTGAGGGCAGGGATGGAGGAATGGTGGTGGGATGTTTTAACTACCTTGCCTGGTGTACAGGAGCGTGTGGGTTCGATCCCTACCCTGGCACCTGTGTATTTAGAGTTTGCATGTTCTCCCCGTGGTCGCGTGGATTTTTCTCCGGACCCTCGGTTTTTTTGACAATAAACATGCGCAAAGAGTATTCGGCTGCTATAATTTCCACGCGATAATCCACTTCGTTGAGCTATCATTTGTGGCCATTTCGCTTCTTAAAAAAGCTGCATATCTCGGTGGGCCTGAGCTGATAAAATAACATGTTTTATTCGTCCGGGTTTGAGTGCGGGAGTTGAGAGTTGTGCTGGAGAATCAGCCGGCTGCTGTGGTTGGGAGGTGGGTGCGGAGTCCGTGGCTGGGCGAGGCGGTGCGTGCGAGGGTTTCGTGAAGACACGTCGACACGTGTTTCCGTTCAGCGCGCGCGCTCCTGAAAAAGGGGGGCGGGGGGGGATCGTAACGAGGGTCTCCAGGTGGTGGGGCTGCAGGGTCCTGGGGGGCGGGGCTCGGCGGGTGAGCCGTACGGGCGTGACTCGCCAGAGAATGGCTCGCACATCTGTGGCTCATCACAGTCGGCGGCTCACGCGGCGCGTCACTTGCTCACCATCGAGCGTGGCTCGGTACACAGCGTGGCGTGTTGCGCAATACAGCGTGGCTTTTGGGATGCTTCGTACTGCGTGGCTCACGCGGTGGCTCGTGCACGGCGTCGCCATAGAGCGTGGCTCAGTACGTCGCGTGGCTCAGCCAGAGCGTGGCTCACAGTGTGGCACACAGCGTGACTCAACCACGCAGCGTGGTTCACGAACCCAGCGCGGCTCACACGCGCAGAGCGTGGCTTGCAGTCACACAGCGTGGCTCACACAGTGCGGCTCACACAGCGCGGCTCGCGCTATGAGCTGGGGGCCACGTCGCCCCCACCTCGGCCGCGTCATCGCCGCGTGGAGCCAAAATCCCGGAGCCCTCTCCGCTCGCCGCGCATTCCTCACGCGCCGTGGAGGCGACAGCCGCCGAGACGCGCGACCCGCACTGCGGCGCCCGTGCCCGGGCCCCGGGGCTATCCCCTCGCCGGGAACCAGGCTACCCCCTCGCCTCGCTGGGAGCAGCCGTGGGGTGGGGGGAGATCGGAGGAGACATCTGACGAGTTCGGGTCCCGCATGGCCAAAAGGAACCTCCCCCGTGGAGCGATAACTGGGGCCGTTCCGTTCCGTCGTGGAGGGGTGCGAGGTGGTTTGAGTTGAGCGGAGTTACGTCGTTGGGTGGTGGGGGGGCCCGAGGAGGTTTATCGGGAGGGGGGTGCGTCTCGCCGTTGTGGGGGGCCCCGGCGGGGCGATGTTCGAGCACTCGGCCGTGTCTGGATTCACGCTGCTGCCGTGGAGAGGGAGGCGAGAGAGAGCGGCGGCGGCGGCAGCTGCAGCCGCTGCCGCCGCCGCCGCTGCTACTGCGGCGAATGTGTCAACTTCGACTGCTGCTGGTGATGGTGGTGATGGCGGTGATGGCGGTGGTGGTGATGATCCCGTGGCGAGCGAGCGACAGCACGATTCTCAAGCAGAGCCACCACCACCACCATCAGAACGGGACCATCAGCAGCAGCAGCACCATAAAAGGCGAACGCGGGGCGACTGGGCCGAGCGCGGCGAGCACGGAGACGCGGAGGAGATGCTGCTGATGATGAAGTCTCGGGGGACGCGGCCGCTGGAAGCGCGGCTGGGAGAGGCGTTGCCGCCACGGGAGATCCTCGTGCGGAGGCGACCCGAGATCCCCGCCTCCATCATTCCCGGCGCCCCGCCGTGGACGGCGACGACCGAGTCGGCGGGTGCCGCCCCGCCGCTCCCTTACCCGGAGTCCAACTCGAACACTCAGGGCGACGTCGCCAAGGAGAAGAAGTCCACGTCCAACCCCGACCTCACGTCCGAGACCATGACCCTGCTCAACCTCCTCAAGACCGACTTCTCCAGCCTTCGCATCAAGCGCGGGGAGTTGAGGGACGCAGGGCACGGGGCCCAGGCCGGGCTCTCCCCGGGTCTCGAGGGCCGATCAGGGGGGTCGAGGTCGGGCCCCCCTTGCGGCGGCGGCGTCGTGAGCGAAGGGGCCCCGCGCACCCCGCGGAGACACCGGCTCAAGGACCTGACGGCCGCGCTGCGGAGAAGTCAGTCCTTCACCGTGGGCCGTGCGGCGGGGCCCGGGGACGATGCCCCCCCCCACCATCACCACCATCACCACCTCCTCGCGGCGCACTCCTTCCGCCGGGCGGCGAGGGCAGCGGGCGACGGGGTCGACCAGCAGGAAGGGGCATTCCCCGGGGGCTGTGCTGACGCGCCCATTCCCCGCGACCGGGAACGCAACGGTGCCCAACAGCAGCAGCAGCAGCAGCAGTATCATCATCAGCAGCATCATCATCATCAGCAGCAACATCAACATCATCAGCAGCAGCAGCATCATCAGCAGCACCAACAGTCGAGGGAGCCGCTCGGACAGGGATCCAGCAGAGACTACGCGGGCTCGGACTGCGCGAGGGGAGGTGAGGACAGGGCACGCCGAGGTGGGGGCTGCGGTTGGGCCCCTCTTGGACCACCGCAAGCGGTGGGCGCCGTCATCCAGAGCGGTGGCGGTGGTGGTGGCGGTGGTGCCACCTCGCCCGCGCTGGACGAGGGCGCGTGCACGCGACCAGCGCCAGGAGGAGCAGGAGGAGGAGGCCGCCTCTCCGAGTCGTGCGACGGGCCCGCCGAGTCGCACGCTCGCGCGTCCGCCTTCAAGCTCGTGCGGAGAGCGGGGACAGCGGCGGCCGAGGCGGCGGCGGCGGCGGCGGCGGCGCCCGCTTCCCGGGACGGGGCCGAAGGCGGCCAAGGGAGCGGCCGGGCGAGGAGGAGAGGGGCGGCCAAGGGGCAGCCTCTCCCCGACGCGGCGGCCACAGCGGCGACAGCGACGAACGGTCGCGGAGCGGACGATGGAGACCGCGACCGCGCGCGCTTCCACAGTGACCCCGCGCTTCTCCGCCGGTTGAGTTCGGTCACCGAGGAGGCAGAGTTCGCCCAGCTCCAGCTCCAGCTGCAGCAGCAGCAAGGGCAGCATCAGGGACGGGGCAGTCTCCCTGGGTCCATGTCGGAATCCCCCGTGCCCCGCGCGCTCAGCGAGTGCAGCTTCAGCACCAACAGCGACGCCTCCTCCATATGCAGCGAGGTGGGGCCCACCCCTCGCGGGCCCAGCCCCGAGGAGCGAGCAGCCAGCGAGCCGGGGCCGCAGCCGCACCACCAACAGCGTCCTCGCGCTGGGACCGCGGGGCCCGAGGATGGCACCAGGGCGCCAAAGAAGAAATCTCTGAGCGACCCGAGCCCCTACGGCGAGATGCGCACGGTGGGATTCCGCAGTCTGGTGGACTCCATCAGCGAGTTGGAGCAGAGCGGCGGCGGTGGTGGAGGAGGAGGAGGTGGGAGTGGTGGTGGCGGCCTCTCGAGCGCTCTTCAGCAGCGAGGAGAACAACGAGGTGAACGAGTTGGAGATGAGACGCATCCGTTCCGCGCGCGGTCCCAGTCCTGAGACGGTGCCACCTCGCGCCGCACGCCGGGCCCAGGCGCCGCTGTCCCCGGGGGAGCTCCTCTGCGCGCCCCCCACCACCCCGCACCTCGCCAGGGGCTTTGGCAGGAAGGCCAGGGATCAGGGCAAGGCGAGCGAGGGTTCCGCGGTGGCCGCGTCCGTCGGGGTCGGCGTGGGAGTCGGGGTGCCTCTCGGACAATGCAAGGCGGTCTCCAGGTCGCCCTTCAGGCCGGCGGCGCGCGCCCCAAGCGAAGCCGCGGCGGCGGCCTCCTCCGCGGCTCTCACGCCGAGCGCCAAGGCCCTTCACGAGGCCAAGTCGGCGTCGTTGCCCGGGAGGAACAAACCGAGCGTGGAGGCGCGCAGAGCGCACGGGTTCCTGTCGCAGGTCCCATCTCTGGAGGATGTGCGCAAGCAATTTCGTCTCAAAGTCGGGCGCGGCAGCAGCAGCAACACCACCACCACCAGTAGCAGCACCAGCAGCACCAGCAGCGCCACCACCACCGGCAGCAGCAGCCAAGCAGCAACCGCTCTCACCACCTTGGTGCCCGAGGCGCACATCGCTGGGCCCTCCGCGCCGCACGGGGCACCCCCCAGGACCGTGAGGTCCCTGCCCGTGGCGTTGCCCGAGCCGCGCCGGGTGGAGGCGGCGGGGGACGCGTGCGCCAGTCCCGGGCGCGAGCACGTGGTATACGAGGTGAGCACGCGGTATACGAGGTGAGCACGTGGTATACGAGGTGAGCGTGGTGAGCACGTGGTGTGCGTGGAGAGACGCATAGTGTACGGGGTGAGGACGTGTAGGAGATCAGCACGCTGTGTGCGTTATGAAGATATGGTGTGAGTGGTAAACTCTTGTATGGGGTGAGCACGTGGTCAGGACACGGTGTGTGCGTTATGAAGATGTGGTGTGAGTGGTAAACTGTTGTATGTGGTGAGCACGTGGTCAGGACACGGTGTGTGCGTTATGAAGATGTGGTGTGAGTGGTAAACTCTTGTATGGGGTGAGCACGCGGGGTGCGAGCTGAATTGTCCTCGACACTCGAGTGACCGATCGAAGTTTTCACGTTGACCTGAGCGAGCACGCTGAACTGTGGCCTATCGTTTACATTTGTACCAGGGCACGGCACGTGCCATCTGCGCATTTTCGGAGATGATTCCTCTTTGCATCAGCGTCAACGTCGGACAATAAACCCCTTACAGAGACAATGATCCCCCGGATAGCATGCACAGGCTGTCGGGGCAAGTGCTTTTAAAGCGAGCATCCATAGAAACGGAGATTGTGCCAGGTTCGGTGCACTTTGAGGCCTCGGTGGGCATAGAGCATATAGACACACACGCAGATAGATACACTGGGCACACAATCTCACGGCTCTTTAAACCTATTTACATACGATGACAAAGGTCCCCCGTGTCATTGTAGGCCGTCACCCCGCACAAGCGGTCGGTGTGATCATCAACAAGCCGGGCTTGCCTTTGTCTCCACGCTGCTAATGTGTCGGGACTTTTTCAATGTGCTCGTTTTAGGATGGCTCGATCTAGGTGAGGGCCAGGAGAGGTTTAGATACCAACGTGCCACAGATGTTAGCAGTGTCGGGGAATTGAACCCTGGTCACCGGTGGTTCGTAGCACAATGAGCTAACCGCTGCGCCACCGCTCCCCGCACAGACTCAGACACACACAGGCACACACACGGACACACACAGTGTACACACACGGACACACACAGTGTACACACACGGACACACACAGTGTACACACACGGACACACACAGTGCACACACACGGACACACACAGTGTACACACACGGACACACACAGTGCACACACACGGACACACACAGTGTACACACACGGACACACACAGTGCACACACACGGACACACACAGTGTACACACACGGACACACACAGTGCACACACACGGACACACACAGTGCACACACACGGACACACACAGTGCACACACACGGACACACACAGTGTACACACACGGACACACACAGTGCACACACACGGACACACACAGTGTACACACACGGACACACACAGTGCACACACACGGACACACACAGTGTACACACACGGACACACACAGTGTACACACACGGACACACACAGGCACACACACGGACACACACAGTGTACACACACGGACACACACAGTGTACACACACGGACACACACAGTGCACACACACGGACACACACAGTGCACACACACGGACACACACAGTGCACACACACGGACACACACAGTGCACACACATGAGGCACAAACAGAGATCCATTGTCTGCTCTTTAACAGACTTTGTGAGCAAGTGGTGTTACCCAGCACGAGGGGATGGTGTGGCCAGAACCACGCAAGGCCGCCTTTGTCTCCCCAGTGCTGATTGTTTACACACCACAATAGGCACTTAGTTGAGGCTGAGTCGACCTAGGGGGAGGCCCTAACTGGTTCACATACCAAGTGCCACTGATGTTAGCCGTGGCAGAGAAGTGAGCCCAACTCACTGGGTCATTACTTCTCGCTTCTGTGAATCACTGCAACTACCACACCCTCTTACATACACACACACTGTACACAGACAAAGATCCCCCGTATAGCCTGTTCAGGCAATTATGGCAAGAGTTGTTAGAGAAGACTTTTATGAAGGCCGGAACGGCGTACGAAGAAGAGGCTACGTGTGCCTAGGATCACGCCCGGCCGCCTTTGTCTCCCCAATAATTATGTTTCCACGCTGCACCAGGCGGAGACGCAAGGCAGGTTCAGATATTCGTCACTGATGTTAGCCGTGAGCGGCTATCGAACTCCGCTCGCCCCCGTTTGTAGCGCAGCGTGCTAACCACTGCGCCACCGCTCCTCTAACCCGCCCATTCGCCCTCGATGTCGTCCCTCGTGTGTGCGGGCCCCCGAGAGAGGGGTGGTGAGTGTGGGGTGAGAAGGAGCTGTGAGGTGAGCGATGGGGTGAACGCGAGGGCGAGTGTGCGCACGCTGTCTGCAGGGTGGCGGCGAGTGTTTAGATGAAGTATCCACGGAGAGCCGTTTATGCGGGGAGAGATCGCAGCGTTCTGGAATCATCATAATATTATTATTAATCCTCTTTGTTTATCCCAGGAAAGTCTCACACAGAGTCTCGTGACTTATTCTCAAGAGGGTCCTGTTGCTACGTCGGGATGTTTGGCCCAGTCCCGTGAGTGCGGGCGTGTGACTCGCGGCGTACTCGCCATTGTGTTTAACTCGCACAACAGGCAACTTTATTTAGAAATCATCCGAGAGTTTCTACTTTTACGCAGCCGTCATCACCACCACCACCACGTGGCTTTAGGCCATCTCTTCCCCTTGGGTCGCCGGCCTCTGGGTGGCACGCTTATGTCTGACTCGGTAACCTCCCGTCCACCACCACCACCACCACCCTGTACACGACTCCGATGATGATCTTAGTAATGATGACGATAATCCTGCTGCTTCTGCTGATGATAACGACGATGGCGATACTGCTGCTCATGATGGCTATAGACTCGGCGCCGAATCCGACTCGCACAGCGCGTCACGACAAGTCACTCCGTCTCCCACTCTGCGGCTCTAGCTCTCGACCCGCCTCTCTCTTCTCTACTATCGGAGTCGAAGTCAGATCCGCGGGGTTGATAGCCGCCGTGCGCTAACCACTGCGCCACCGCTCCGCCGCGTACGCATCTTAGAACGAGTACCACTTTGTTGTGCAATGTCCCTGCCATGGAAATGCGGGATACCCAGCACTGCCTCAGGACTGCAAACAAAAGTGAGCACCGCGCAACGCTCGTTTAAGCAAAGGGAACCTTTTACCTCTAAACAACAACAACAACAATCGTGATGATGATGATGATGTCATGAGGCGCACGGTCACCCACGGCTTGTGAGTGGCCGTGCGGAGCTCGCAGTGTCGCTCGAAAATCCGACGACAGCGGCGGGGCCTTAAAGAACGCGACGAGGCGTTCGGTGTCTCTGCAAAGTCGGCGTAGAGCGAAACGAAGCAGCGGGGCGATCGCGATGGTGGTGGCGGTGACCGCGTTCCAGACAGAGGCGGGGGCTGCCACGAGTGGCCACGCGCCCGCTCCTCGGTGGGGAGACGACGACGAGGATGAGGATGATGAAGAGGTTGTAAGTCGCTGCTGCTGCTGTTGCTGCTCCTGCCAGGACGACTCTCTCGCTCGCTCGTTATTTTGGCGACGATTCCTAAAACGCAGCCACGCGTGCCTCCTCACGTGAGCCCGGACGTTTCCAGTGCAAAAAAAAAAAACGAGCGAGAGAGAGAAACGCAAACCCGTTCGTAATCTGTGCAATTAAAGAATACAAATTAACGGACTGCGGTTGGCGGCGACTCACAAACGTCAACAAGACGGCCGCGTTGGTCATTAGCGGCGCCTCGCAATCGGCCCCCCAGTAAACACGCACTCTTCCACTGTAGCGGCACAACCTCGTCTTTTGCTTTCCAATCGCCACGTTCCCAGTCGAACGTCGCTTGTTCGTTCACCTCCTCGGGTTCAAATCGTCCACGGGCCACAGCAGAGATCGGCGCCACCCACCTAAGGTCGCCAAACTCTCTCGAGCCGCACGCGCATCGATCGATCGATCGACCGATACGGCCCACGAGGTGTGAATTGATAACGCCACCTCATTCGTACGGCTGCTGATGTAGGCGCAGAGCAGCAGCGACGATGTCACACCCAGGTGGTCAAGCCAGACAACCGCGTCAGGAGCAGCGCGGTGTGTCGCTGTCATGATGTCTCTTCGGAATTGGGTCGTTGCACATTGTGCGGTCTGTTCTGGACGACCACGGTCGTACATCACTGGAAATTTTTTTTTTATTCCGTTTGTGCATCGGGTATCCGCATCTGCCTCTCGTTCAAACGGAGCACAGCATCGGTCACTGCGATTGGCCACATCGCCGACTGTGGAAGCGCTACGCCAAGACGCCACCGCAGGTGCGAGCGACGGAAGTCGTGGCAACGTCTCCGACTCGGTGGGATGTGCGCGTTGCGGGCTGCGGCGCCTCGGCCTGGGACAACGCGGCAGTCAGGGCACACTCTCTCACCACGGGTGAAGCAATCGCAGAGGGGACTCAGAATAAAGTCGCGTTGCTGTTACGGAGCCGAAAACCCCGTTGTGGAAACCGGGGAAATTGATCAGAGGGGTTCCCCTTTGCGAGGACAAAGCGCGTGGTTGGAAACGAGAATCGGCGATGCGTGTGTATGGTTGTTATTCCTTGGCGGTATTTATTTACGGCGGAGCCGTGTCGAGCAGCAAGCACGGATATTTTGCCCAACCCTTCCACTTCTTTCGTGTGTTCTTCCGAAGGCCACGCAGTGTTGTTCACGGGTTCTCGGTCAACAAGTCTGACCGTTTCATCTCATCCACACCGCATGTCTCGCCACAACAACACACTCACATCCACTCAAGTCACTCAACCGCTCACTCACCCACTCATCCACTCGCTTAACCGCCCACTCACCTGCTCACCCACTCACCTACTCACCCACGCACTCACCAACCCACTCACCAACTCACCCACGCACTCACCCACCCACACTGTACGTCACAACATTTCTCTGTCTCGCTTATCCCCCTCGCACTGCTCCACGTTGGAATTGCCTCCATCCCGCCATCATCATCATCGGGTATTCCCCCCACAACCTCTAGTAACAATAATAACATTGCTCAA